TTTTTTTTTTTTTTTTTTTTTTTGTGCAGGCAGGGTGCGACAGCAAACAGGACAGACACAAAACAAGCCTTAGCTTTTTCATCCTTTGTATTCACTGCTAAGTAGTGAATACAGCCTGTTCTACCCTCACATAACCCTCACGTGAGCTATCTCCAGCAGCTAACACTTAGGTGGAATCATCATTCCCACATTTCTTGAACTCCCTGAATCAAGAGTACAGCTGTCTACAACATTATAATATGCTGACTACTGACAGATCTTAAGATTGCTGTCATTTCGACTCTTCTGATTTTTCAAAAGTATCTTTCAATTTGCAAATCTTGGCCCATTTTAAGAAGAGGTCATTCTCCCGTTTCGTAGTTGAGAAAACTCTAATTTGCTGGAGGTCCTACACCACATAAGTGACAGAGGAAAGACTGAAATCCAGGTTTCTGACTCCCTGAGTAATTCACTTCTACTGTCAGTAACCCACTAACACCACTGAAATGGCTGACTATGGCTCCCTCTCACGCAAATGAAAGCAGCATTTACATTTGGCAGAATATCAGCAGGTTTCTAGGTAGAAGGCCAACTGTAGAACTTATTTCTACTGTGGCCATTTCAATTTATGTTGCAAACAGCACAATTTTCCTCGCCACCCTGAGAATTCCCACGTTACTGGCATATGATTGCAGAATCAGAGTGAAATCCATTAGTTCACAGTTTGATCTGTCACCATTTCAAAGATTCAGGGAATGGATAAGAATGTAGGTTGGTACACCAGTTCAGTGAAGTACCAAGTGAAGATGATCACCCTGCTGTGAAGGAAGCATGAGAAGCCCCTTCAAAGAAGGTCTTTCAGAGGCCAGTTGGTCATAATCAGATCTACCACTCCTGACTAAAGCCACGCCTTGGAAAAGGGAAGGAAACACTCCTCGTGAGGAAGCTGGTAAGTGGCCTGCCAGCAGAGACAGCTGGAAAAGATGCTGAAGTGAAGAAATTGGACAATATTTGACATTTTTACACCCACCCTTTCCTTAATTGCACTGTCCATCAGTACTGCTGATACTTGAGAAGAAAACAGTCACAGAATTATCTCTAAATAACACAATTTGACCAATAGTTATGACTGTTATCCCTGGCATATTTCAAACCAATGTGCCTTGGAAATGGAGGGCTGAGGGAAGGGGTGAATGCAGAGTCAGAAGGCTGTTACTTTATCACTCAAAGGTACATTAACTRCTTATTGGAACAAGGATACGCTTAAGGTCCTGATGTAGTTGACCAGCTCTCCTTTGTCTTTTTGTCAGATTCTATCAGAAACTGCCACAAAGGAAGAACTATCATGTCACCACCTCCTTCCCCCTTATTTTTAAACAACACTACATCTAATATACAAAGATTAATTCATTGCCAAGGCCTCTGGGTGTTACTAAAATACAGGTAACAGAGGAGAAAAATGTTATGGCAGCCCTATCCTGCATTGTGTCATTCCTGAAGCTGTTCACTGTGTGGCTTGTCCTGCCTCACTCTGGTCCATGCAGTTGCTCTGTAGACAGGGCGAGACCATATCGCAACAGCCCCGTGTTCGCAGCTGTCCCTAGCACCGCGGTGAACAGCCCAGCAAGGCAACTCCTCCAACAAGATAGAATATTGGCCTAAAATGGAAATAAGATGTAATCTACCAACCCCCTAATAACATAAAGAGAGAGGGGAAAGAGAACCGTGAAATGCTTTCAAGCTTTAAGACATTCGAAAACTGCCTGTCACTAATGAACATACAGCAATGATCAGGGGACAAAAAAACGCGAATGCTGTCTGACGCCGCAGAGACCGGCCCCGCACTGCGCCGGGGGCCCGAGCCCCGCCCGCCTCACCCTCCGTCCGGGCCCCCACCGGGGCTTCGACCTCGCCCTCCGCCCCGCAGTCCCGACAGCGCCTCAACCCTTCCCGCAGCCGCAGCCCGCGGGCCTCCGCCGCCGTCCCTCCGGGAGAAGCGGGATGAAACCCTGCGTCGAGACGRCCGCGCCGCAGAGCGGAGAGGGCACCGGCAGCTCCGCCTCATCCCAGGTGGCGGCAGGGACGACGCGGCAGGCGCGCAGCCCCACGGTGCTCAGGAGAGGGACCGCGCCCGTCTCGCCCCGGCCCCACCGCCGCGACCCCACTGCTCACCGCGCTCCAGGGCGCCGCGCAGCGCCCCCCGCTCCGGCTCCGTCCCGATCTCCCCGATCACGGCGAGCAGCGCGTACCGCCGGCCGCCCGGMGGCGCCGCCGTGTCCATAGCGACCGGGCCGGCCGCCGTCTCCATGGCAACGCCGCGGCCGCTGCTGCAGCGCGCGGTCACTGGCGCGCGGCTCTTAAAGCGCCCTGAGCCCACCCCTGATTGGCCGAGCTGGCATGTGGTCCTGCCCTACTGCGGGAGGGGGCGTGGCCTGCACTCCTGGGCCCCGCCTCTTCCCAGCCGCTCCCGCGCCCACGGGCCCGCCCCGGAGCTCCGCCCCGCCCCCAGGCTCTGCCGCCCCGCCCCCAGGCTCTGCCGCCCCGCCCCCAGGCTCTGCCGCCCCGCCCCGCCTCGCCCGGGCTGTCCGCACCCTGCCCGGCCCCGCCTCGCCCGGGCTGTCCGCACC